TAATATGATCATATTTTCTTGACCTGGTAAGTACTCTAGCCGCTACATTTTGGACTACCTGTAGCTTGTTTATTGAAGATGCAGGACACCCACCTAGCAGTGCATTACAATAGTCCAGAGGTCATGAGTGCATGAACTAGCTTTTCTGCGTCAGAAACAGGTATCATGTTTCGTAACTTGGCAATGTTTCTAAGATGGAAGAATGCTGTTTTTGTAACATGGGAAATATGATTTTCAAAAGACATGTTGCTGTCTAATATAACACCCAGATTTTTGACTGTAGAGGAAGTAACGGTACATCCGTCTAGTTGCAAATTGTAATCCAAGAGATTCTGTGTACTGTCTTTTGGTCCAATAAGTAATATCTCTGTCTTATCCGAATTTAACGGGAGAAAACTATTGGTCATCCAATCTTTTACATTTTTAAAACACTCTGTTAGCTTAGATAATTTAGAAGTTTCATCTGGTCTTGTTGAGATATATAGTTGAGTATCATCAGCATAACAGTGGAAACTAATCCCGTATTTTCTAATAATATTACCAAGGGGCAACATGTATATTGCAGAGGACCTAGGACAGATCCTTGTGGCACTCCATATTTTACTGGTGATAATTGAGATGATTCCCCATTTAAATGAACAAGGGGGTAGCGATCGGACAGGAAGGATCTAAACCATCTTAAAGCCTGCCCTTGAATACCTGTATAGTTTTGTAATCGATCGATGAGTATGTCATGATCTACAGTATAGTGTCGAACGCAGCACTGAGATCAAGTAAAACTAGCAATGAGACACAGCCTTGGTCTGACGCAAGAAGCAAGTCATTTGTAATTTTAACAAGTGCAGTTTCTGTGCTATGGTGGGACAATTCTTCATAGAGATCATTGTTTTGCAGAAAGGAGCACAATTGAGCAGACAACTTTTTCTAAAAGTTTAGACTTAAAAGGAAGATTTGAAATGGGTCTGTAATTTGCCAGTTCACTAGGATCTAGTTGTGGTTTCTTAATAAGAGGCTTAATAACCGCCAGCTTGAATGGTTTTGGGACGTGTTAGGTCAGTAAACGCAAGTCCTAATGCACGTATTATCAACGTGAATGTTAAAATCTCCGACAATTAGCGCTTTATCAACAGTAACCAATAGGTCTGAGATGAAATCTGCAAATTTTTTTAGGAAATCTGTATACGGCCCTGGTGGTCTATACACAGTAGCCAGAGCAAGAGATACACCACATTTCTTTTGCATATCTGACAGTGTAACATTAAGCATAAGTATTTCGAATGAGTTAAACTTGTATCCTGTAAACTTGAATCAGTGATGTTTTGTCTCAATGACCTCAAAACTGTACAGCAAGTTTGAAAATGCACATGTGTGAAATTCAAAAGCTGCTGCTGTATGGTTTGAGAAAGAGCAGCTTTGGATTCATCAAAATATCTTCTTGTGTGTTCTGTGGGGGGGAAAAAAGTCATATAGATTCGGAACAACATGGGGCTGAGAAAATAACAGAATTTAAATTCTTGGTGAAATTTCCCATTAATGAAAGCTTTGCAATTATTGATGCATGTATGAAAAGTCAGTTCCTACCTTTAATTTACCATCAAAAGACATCACAGATATGAACATCAAAAGCAGTGTCATATTATGTGACGCTAAAGCACTTTTGCCTTAAATGTCATAAATGAAATGTAAAACAAATGTAAATGGATAACACAAGTGCAGTGTGCACTACCTTCTAAACAGATTCCCTAAAGCATCAAGCTACGAACAGATGGTCAGATTTATTAATTTATTATGTGGTTTTCACCTAAACAGAAGTGTTGTATTGAGTTCATTTTTGCAGCAGTGCTGTGATGCCCCCATTTGTTTTTTATTCAGGACAATGGTTTTATTCTGGACAAATTTTCAGGACAGGAAATTTTTATTTAGGACTGCTGGCACCTCGCTTTCCAAATCTGAGATATTTGTTACTCTTCATGGCTGTTCTTAAGCATCTGTGATTTATACAAGTTTTGTTGTTCTTGGTTCTGTTAACTACTTGCGGTGATCCGCCTTCTTGCGGCTCACAAAATTTTGCAGTTGAGCCCTGAAAGAGCCCAAATCCTGGATAAAGAGGTTGAGTGAACCTGGTCTGGACTTTGTGAAGGAGGATCATGGTATCTGAGACACTGTAGAAGGACAGCTGTCCTGCCCGGTGGTCCAGATACACCCCGATCCGGTGGGACAGGTGTACACTGATCTCCGTCTCCTCGTTGTTGTGCACTAGTGCGTATCTGAACATGGAACAGTCCAGACTCCAGGAGTGCCTGTTGTACCCAAACCCACTGTCGTCTCCTTGCCCAGTTCTGTTGATGTCTTTGTATGACACTGCGAGGTCGACGCCGTACTGTCCGCTCCAGACCACCTCCCAGTAGCAGCGACCTGTCAGACCTTCCTTGCTCAGCACCTGGGCCCACCACTCAAAGCGGTCCGGATGTTCTGGATATGATTGGGGCTCAATACTGCAAGCCACAGCCTGGTTCTGTTCTGTTAACCGAAGGTTCCTGTGGGCCGTGTTTGGGTCCAGACTCAAGGGAACCAGAACTGATGAAATGAGAAACAAGGTGAAAATGCAAAACCCAAGTAAAGCCCAGCTTTACCACAAGACCCGTGTATGCACACTTATTTGGGTCTTCACAACTTGGTAAGTTGTCTTAGAATGTAAAACAGAACTTAATGTAAATGAAGTATCCTTAGGTAACAAACCAGTACTAAGGCTAAGCATCTTTAGGGATTGGGATTTTTCCTATTGTACAGTACCTTACCTCATTGTGAAGTTTTGGGGACTATTTAAAGACTGGAATACACTACTCGATTTTTGCCCTGACTTTCCATTGATTTATTGTCTGAAAAAGTTGATGCTAGTCTGCAGATTTGAGTTCAGAGAAAAGTACATGGTGTATGATGGTCACGGTGAATTTGTTGTGATTGGAACAACTTTAATGTCTGGTAGTGTGTGAATCGAAGTCGTTTAGTGTAAGATGGCCAGTTTTTCCTCTGTGACAATTACAAAGTCGGTAAGTGTATGATACCCAGGGTTTTAAAATTTGTTTTAAAAGATGTGTATTGTATTCCAGCCTTAAATTTGAACAAAAAGGTAGAATGACTTACACTGTATAAAGTCCTCCCTCGTCTTGGGTTCTTGCGGCAGTAGGCTCTTTTCTGCAGTCACTAAAGAGAGGTGAGATGTGACAGAACAGATTGGTTATTTGGGAATCTGCAGACCTTTTCACAAGAGGTTGGACACATGTAAAATTTTGGAAATCCCAAGTGTTCTGTCGAGTACTACAGAGCCACAAAGGTATGACCCTCTGGCCCGCCAATGCCACTGTCCTGCAGAATTTAGCCCCAACCATAATACAATACACCTGCCTGTAAATTTCAAGTAATCATCAAGACTTTGATTAGGGTTGGAGCTAAACTCTTTAGGATAATGGCCCTTGAAGGCCAGGTTTGCCCACTACTTTCCTAAAGTGACATGGAGATGGATAAGATATGAGATTTGTATGTCAATGCTTTTTCATTCCCCTGAGAAACTTTGAGGTCACTCACAAAACTTTTGCATTTCTTTGAGAAAGTATGCATGGGGTTTTGTGAGGGAATGCAAAACATTTTAATGCACAAGCATTGAAATATGTTTTCCTCCCATCTCATATTTTTTTTATTTTTTCTGTCATATCCCTTTAGGGTCTTCGGAGGATTCTTAACAGCAGCAGGGGCGGATTTAGTGATTTGGGGGCCCCAGGCAAAATACAGGAATGGGGCCCTATACAATTTCACACATCTACAACCTTGAGGTTTCTTTCACTGTTGCTTGCTGCTGCACGACCGTGTCCCATAGTTGTGTCCAATCTTTTAGATTTTTATAAATAAATGATTTCTTTAATGTCGTAAATCCCTTGTTCATATTTAAACAGGTTATAATAGTATTCGAGTAGGTTGGATACTAGGTGGTGCATTGGGGTAATTTTCACTATGCAATTGTCTACACAACGCAAGGCTGTCTAATTCTAAACTTTAAAATATACATTTATTTTTTATTTATTTTAATTGCACATTTAAATTAAATTGAAGGAAATTATATATTTACATGCTTAAGGATTATTTCAACCAAACATGAAGTGTGCCTGTGTGGAAAGGTCCTTCTTGGGTCTTTCACAAAAACGAGTGAGTGCTTAGTATTAAAATTATAGCTTCAGATGCATGATATTTGTAGGGCCCTATGAAATCCATTTTATTTTTTCCAAATTAGCCTAAGTTTTATTTTTTCCAAAATCTTTTTTCCCGTTTAAATTTTTCTGGATGATTATATAATTTTTACAAAAAACATGTATAATTAATTAAAATCATGAAACTTGTTTATTTTAACAGCAATTTAGGCCTATTAAAAGTTTAACAAAAATTACATTCTTAGGGCCCAAATTCTGTGCTTTCCATTAAACTTTTTCTGTATTCCATTTTAATGGTTTAATCAAAAACATATCTAATTAATTGAATTCATAAAAACAACTTAATTTATTAATTTGTATACAATAATAGGGCCCTATGAAATTTTAATTT